CTGGGCAGGAAAATCCATGAGACTCTGATCTCCAGTAAACAACCAGAAAACTGGAAATAGCGCTGTGGCTCAAGTGATAGAGAGCTACCCTTGAGCTGAAGAGCTGAGGGACAGGGCCTGGGCCCAGAGTTCAAGCCCTACGACTGACTCTCCCCTTCCTCCCCAAACTGTTGAGTTTTAGACTCCTGATTTATCAATTAAAATAATATTAATTATACAGCACTAATATTTGTAGCTGGCACAGGGAGTTTAGGGTAAAGGACTGCTGCCTCTTTGAGAGCTTACTGTTGGCCTAACCAGATGTCTTTGGCACACGGGTCATGGAGTTTTGAAGAAAAGTGGGGGAGTGTGGTTAAGTTTTAAGTTCATGAAGGATAAAATGCATTTAAAGCAAACAGTTATGAACTGTTAAATGAACATTTGTGCGGTTCTGTTTGCAGTTTGGTTATGAAGTAAGTCATGCTAAAAGTTTGAGGGAAAATTTATGTCTTTAATGAAAAGTATTGTCTACCTTTTCCCTCTTCTCTCCCTTCTCTTCACCCTTCTCCCTCTCCTCTTCCCCTCCCTTCTTTCCCCTCCCCCTCTCTTCTGTCTTCCCTATTCTCCTTCTCCCCCCTCCTTGTTCTGTCCCCTCTGCCTCTCCCCCTCTCCCATTGCTCCTCTCCCCTTCTGTGTTCTTATGTCTGTTCCTCCTTTATTCCTTGTTACTCCTCTGTACATACTTTCCTTCTCTGGCCTACTTTGTTTGTTTTTTTTTCCCAGGTTGTTATCGTCAGGAGCTGTGCAAGCTGATGTGCGAACGGCTGAGACTCAGCACTTGGAAAGTGCAGCTAGGTGTCCTACAGTCAATGAATGCCTTTTTTCAGGGGTAATTTGAGTCATGGTTCAGTTTTTTGTTTTTGTTTTTTAAAAAGTTTGTTCCCCTTTTCTACCTTCCCACTAGCATACTATATATAATCAATAGAATTCTTACATACTTTTAAACTAGTCGCTAAAGTGGCATAATGATGATACACGTGGGTTTAAAAAAAAACAAAAATATACCCATGAATAGACATTGTCCCCAAAATGTTTCTAAATAGTAGTATTAAGTGAGAAGCATTTATAGTTTGTTTTTGATTTGTATAGGTTAATGCTTTTAGAAGAAGAACACGCAGATCCTGAGGCTTTGACTGAAATTCTCCTTGAAACTTGTAAATCCATCACATATTCTTTAGGTGAGTCTATTAGCCTGAAATTGGTGAGGTGTGAATGATAAATGTTTATTTCCATGCTGGGGATTTGAACCCAGCGCCTTACACATGCTAGGTAGTTTCTATGCCACTGAGCCACATTTCCAGTTTCCTTTTCTTTGAGAAAGGGTGTCTCTTTGTTACCTGTGCCAGGTGCAAACTCATGGTCCTCCTGCCTCATCTGGGATTATAGATGTGTGCCAATGCTTAACAGGTCCTAATTTTAAAGCTGAGTTACTGAGCTTCAGGTATTCTCTACTTTGTCCTAGAAACTAAATTTCTAGAACAACTAGTGAAATGTCCTACATGTACTCATATATTTTGATGCCTTTCCAAAATGGAAAATTTTAATTTGAAATTGTGGGATTTTTTTTTCTTAACACCTAGGTTAGACTTTCATAACAACTATTTTTTTTTAAGGTTATTTGGAGCCTGTCATCAGTGGCTCACACCTGTAATTCTAGCCATTCAGCAGGTAGAAATTTGAAGATGTTGGTCCAAAGCCAGCCTAGCAGGAAAGTTCATGAGACTCTTATGTCCAATTAACTGCCCAAAAGCTGGAAATGACACTGTGGCTCAAAGTAGTAGAGTACTAGCCTTGAACACAAAAGATCAGGGTCAGCGCCCAGTCCCTCCCTGAAGTCAAGCCCCAGGGCCAGCACAACAAAACAAACAAAAGGAATGCAGTCCAGAATTACTTGCTGAGTTCAGTCTCCTTTAATTTAGTCTCCCATAATCTGGAACACTTCTTTAACTTTTATTTTTCTTATAACATGGATGATTTTGAAGAATGAATTATCCTTGTTTCCCTCTTTAGAAAGCTGGATATGTTTCAATTGACCTTTCTTCATGATTAAATCAATTTATGAATCCCACTTGGGCTATTACATAGGTGATGTGTTTTTCCTCATACCAAGGTTCACACAGAGTCCATTTGTCTTGATTTGGTCAGGGTACTTCAATTTACTGTATTTTTTTTTTCACCTTACATCTAGTATGCACCCCTGTGGGAACCTGTTCTTAAGACCATTCAAATAATCTCTTAAATATTTATTGAGTAAGCAGTCTGTGAGAAGACACTAAAAGAGCAGGCACATATACTTATGCAGAATCTCTTTTCTACACTTAGCATACATTGGTGATTCTCTGTTAGCAATTTTTACATAGTATTTAGTTATTGGTGTTCTGTGTAAGCAAGATTCTTCTCTTCCGTCTCTTTGTCAGGCAGCTTTGATTCATGGATTCTTTCTGTTCCCCCTAGTGATGATCTTGTCTTTCTTCTGCCTCCTCTTCTCTCCCGCTTTTTGTACTAGAATTTGAACTCAAGAGACTATACTCTCTAGGCAGGTGCTCTAATTGAGCCACCCCCATGTCCTTATTTTTCTAATTTGTTACTGAAATTATCCCAGGTCTGCAAGTGGAAACCCCTTCAAGCTGAGTCTCCTATTCTTTGGCAGGTCATCATCATTCTTTGTAGCGCTTTCTTCCCTGCTGTGGACTTAGTTACATGTTAGTCTTCTTGGTAGACAGTTTCACTATAAGCTTGATTCTATGCCAAAGAGTAGATATCAAAAAAGCATGGTTAAGTTGTGATTCTTGGAGGTAGTGTGCTTTTAATAAATAAAGAGCTGGTAACTAACAAATGTGGCACTGAAGAAGTCCGGGTGCCTCTGTGTTGCGCCAAACACTGAGTGGTATAATGTTCTTTGGTAAAATGAAGGAGTAGCATACAAACCTAAAGATGGGAATGCAATGGGAAGATAATAATGTGTCTGAGACAGTGTCTTTTGGTCTCCCATATCTAAAATTGGTGCTTTCAATATTATCATTTCTTGTAGTGATTGGTAAGCTTGGCTGAGGTCCACATAGCCCTTCAAAGTAAGGAATGTGGGCAAGTTACACATTTCAAATATTTGATGATAATTAGTAAGTGAAAGCTTACTTTAGAAAACAAAATTCAAATGTTCCTTCCATGGAGTTATAATTTCTTAACATCTTTTCTTTCAGTAATGATTTAATCTTGGAACTTCTATCTTTAAGGCATACATGTAAGTGTGTGAGTTTCCTTTTTAGAAAATAAGACCTACTCATCTGTGAGAACAGAAGCTTTGTCTGTGATAGAATTACTGCTTAAAAAACTTAAAGGTGAGTTCCTGATAGTTCAGATTAGAAGATCATAAAACCTATTTTAGAAATTCAGTTTCAGCATTTGTTTTTTCTCTTTAACATACAAATTAAATATATATATATATATATATGTATATGCACATGCAAGTAGGATATAGAAAGCTAATTGTACAGAATTAGTAAGCTATGGTAATTTCAAAGTAACAAAGTTTTTGTTTCTATTATGAATTCTGATTTAATCTTGGTCAGTTACAGAAAGTGATTGGCAGTGTATAGTAGAGCTCATGTATGCATCATATAAATAAACATAATGACATTCTGGGTAGAGGATGAGGAGTTATTTTTAACAGTTACTGGAGACATCAAATTTGATTGTAGCTAATTTTTGTTTCTTTTTCATCCACTTCATTTCTTCTTTTTCTTTTTTGTTTAAACCTTATCTAGAGAAGTAAATTTCTTATAAAAGTTTGTTGTTTCAGTGATAAACCTATTAATGTGTATTTGTCACTGGTTTGAAAAATAAAGGCTGTATCTCTATTCTTCTTTCTAAAAAATTATTTTAACCTATTGATTAGGAATGCAGAGGAGAGAACATTTTTCTCTACAACCTTTCCTTAGCAATTACAACATCTCCTCTAGGTCTCTATAAAGCATGCCTTTAGGTTCACATAATCCCTTTCCCCATTGAATTAAAAGAACTGGCACTCAGTTAACTTATTACTGACTTCTCATTTTTCCTAGTATGTATTAATAGGTACTAAATATTCTAGATGAGGAAAATTAGGCTTCTGATTGACTAACTTGCTGGAAGCCACACCCCTAGAAAATGGCAGATCCTCGTAAATAAGTTTCTAAAATTTTCAGGTGGCATAGAGCTCTTACATGTTTTCTTTGAAAAAGATGGGTAAAGAATTATTTATTTAAAGTAATCGAATCATTTTAGCTGAATATATCTAGTAAGTGACTTTTTGTTGTTTGTTGTTAAAATGACTTTTGTTGGTATGTGCCTTGCTCTGATACTTCCTTAAATTATTGATGGTAATGAGATACTTATTGAATACGTGATTACTGTATAGGTCTGTTAATCAAGGGGTTACTTTATGGTTGGGGGAGGGTTAGGATATGTGGAGGAAAAGTAGTATTTTTGTTCTTGCTTGTTCTAAGAATTTTTTGTTTGTTTTGGTTTTCCTCAGAATCTAAACAGTGGGACAGTTTGACATCTGAATGCAGGGTGCTCCTGATTGAGTCTTTAGCTACTATGAACACAGACAGCAGACCTGAGCTGCAGGAAAAAGCATCGTTTCTGAAGAAAACACTTGAAAATCTGGAGTAAAGGGGAATGGGAAGACTGAAACAAATGCTATGGTCCCTGGGGGTTGAAATGGTGTTCTTTAAAAAAACCAAGTGGGGAAAAGTAAAGATTAATCTGTAGCATGCATCATTCCTTGGCTGAAATAATAACAATAAAAAGCCTTAAATTTTGCTCTTTACTAGCTTTATTTTAATCAATGTTTTATAAGTATGTGGACTAAGTGAGCTTAGTAGATCCTGGGGTGTTTGAGCTGTGGTCATAAACGAGACTGTCAATAGTGGCAGTTAAAAGGAATTAATAAGCCAGGTGCCGGTGGTGCATGCCTGTTATCCTAGCTACTCAGGAGGCTGAGATCGGAGGATTGCTGTTCTGAGTATTGCTGTTTGAAGACAACCTGGGCAGAAAAGTCCTCATGAGACTCTTAGCTCCAATAAACTACTCAAAAAAAAGCCGGAAGTGGTGTTGTAGCTCAAGTGGTAGAGCACTAGCTTTGCATACAAAGAGGCTCAGGGACAGTGTCCTGACCCTGAGTTTAAAGCCCCAGAACCGGCCAAAAAAAATCAAAAACAAAAAAACAAAACCACATACCTGCAAAATCACAGGGCATTTGGATAACAGTCTTAGGCCTGGATCCAAGCTGAAGTTATTTTAGGAAGGGTCCCTCTATAGCACATAGTTTAATGAAGAAATAAGCATGGAGATGACCCAGTTTCCTTTTTGTGGTTTGTGCTAAGGACAGAACCAGGTATTAATGTCCTTCCTAGTGTACTTTCCTGGGTAGCCTGTTGCCAAATCATTGTTCACTCTGACTTGCCCTAGAAATTCCCAGCATGAGGTGTATCTAGGATGATGTACAATAGTCGTTGGGCCAGAACTGACCTGACTCATTTACTGGGTCCTTCAAAGCCAGAAGCTCGTCTTCTTATGTGTTTAAATAGTTAAGTTCTAGATTGTTTAGCACCTTTACGGGTTGAGAGAATAACTCAGTCTCTAATTGTTATTGAAATCCTTTTGAAGGCACATGAAAATAGATTGGGACAAGATTTGTTCTTTCTGTCTGTGTTCGTGGCTATGTAATTTGCAAAAACAAACCTCTCAAAACAAAATAGCAGACTGCCTTGATTTAGACTATTTGTAATCTCAAAACTGTAAGGACAACTTAAAATTTTCTGTCATTTTTCTGGTAACCATATGAATTTAAAAGGTAAAAAGAAAGTAACTGGAGAATTACTTTTTTCCCCTTTTTAAAGCTAACATGATACCACTCCAAGTAAATAATTGCAGCCAGGTTCTTTGGCTTTAATTTTTCCTTTCCTTCTGCTGGCACCTGCCTGTAAGTGTTCAAACCTAAGTGTTTATGGCAAGCTGAGAACTCTCTAGCTTGCCTTCTATTCCTTTTTTTTTTTTGGGGGGGGGTCCGGTTGTGGGGCCTGAACTCTGGGCCTGGGTACTGTCCCTCAGCTCTTCAGCTCAAGGCTAGCGCTCTACCACTTGAGCCACAGCGCCACTTCCGGCTTTTTTCTTTTTGCTTATGTGGTGCTGGGGAATTGAACCCAAGGCCTCATGCATTGCAAGGCAAGCGCTCTACCACTGAGCCACCTTCTCAGCCCTTCTATTCCTAAGCACAAGACTGACATATTCAGTACTCTGCTTATTTAAATGAACACCAGGCATCTCCATGTTCATTATTTTTTGGTGGAAAGTCTATATTTTTTAGTTTTAGTAGTCTCTTTTGATCAATGTATTTTAAGGTTTTTGACTATGAGACATAATAAAATCAAAATTTTTACATCATGAGGTAGCATGTGCGTGTGCATGTGTATGTGTGTCTATAAATATAAAATCGTTGAAATAGATGTTTTGTGAAATAATACATAGTTGGTGTATGTGTGATACACTTTTATGTCAGTGTCTATTTCTCTTCTGTCTGTTTCTTAGATCCACTAAATTCAGTTTCTAACTCACAACTGCGTTACTACTCGCAGTTGGGAAAAGCGCTGCTGTAGGTAGTAACTGAACTTGCCTGGATTTACTCTTGGTTGCTTTGATTGAGAGAAGGGTTTCCACATAAGAAGTTCAGTGTTTCTTACCAACATCATCCTTGCTGATACTGAAAAATGATTGTGAGCTTTGATAGTATTGTGACTTTTAAGGAACCTATCATGGACTTGCATTTGAGAATGGTTTTTGCTTGGGTTGGGGGCAGGGGTGAGGGGAATGGGAACCAGCTTTGGCAGTTCCTCAGAAGTCTGTGGCCTCTCAGGTCTTGGTGTTTTTCAGATCAGTATTTGCCACCACTAGGGGCAAACTTTCACATTCAGTACCTCAGTACCTAGGATACTTTCTTCATTTTTGGGAGGGGGGGAGGGGAAGGAGGGGTGGTATGGAGGAGCTGAGGGACAGGAATGCCAAACGGGACAAGTACTTGAGAAAGTAAGGTGTATGGACAAGGATTAAAACCTTGTCAATTTTTGTGCTTTTCCCCCATTTTATTTAATACTCGGGGTTTCCCTTGGTGCTAAGAGCGGTGCTAAGACGCCAGAACCTTAGTGCTTACAGCAGTTGAATTACATTTCTTTTCACTTCTGAAGGCCATTTCTCATTTGTATACTAACTTGACCAGCCAAGTCTTTACGTAGCTAATAATGCTAAGTTCTATTTGGCGTGCACACATTTATTTTAGAGTTACTTGATACTTTGATGCTTCTCTTCTTGCAGATGCGTTAGTGCTGCTTGTCCCACAAACGACTGGTTTTGTAAAGTCTGTTGCTGAATTTCTTATTCCTGGCATTAGTGTACTTAGTGATCTACACACATGTATTGATAGATGAAAAGAAGATGCCTAAAGTGAGAAGATTTGGAAATAATCATGGAAATGGCATATAGCTCTATTTTGGTGTTAAAGAACAGCTGTTTTAATGAATATTTGCTTCCAATTTGCAGATCCAAGATCTGCCTGTAACACAGTCTTATCTGCACAAGAGTGCTACCCAGTCCCCCTGCTTTGCCCTTGTATCTTTTACTTATGTACTTACTAACAAGAACAAGAGAAGAAGCAAACATATGACCTTGTTTTTCTGTTCTAGTTGCTCTTTGTGAACACTGCCCTCTGAGGGACATTGCTATCTGCTGCTGTCACAATATATTCATGCTGCTTATTAAATTCAGGGAGTTACTCTGATGGTGATACTTGCTGTAATGTACACTGTTGTTAAATGGATACATGGAACTGATGTTTGTATTTTATATGTGATGTCTTTGCAGAATATGTACTTAGCTAGTGATAAGACTTAATTTGAAAAGAAGTCTCCACCCCCATATCCAAGAAGATATTAAATAGTCAATAAAAGCTGGATGGCCTGTTTTTTTGAAGTGATGCAATAATTTTATTATTTTTTTATTTTTACCACTTCTCTAGGAAAATAGTTCAACTGACTAGTTATAAAGAAAGACAGAAAAAAGTCCTTATTGCATGCCTTTTCTGAGCTAACTCTAGTGAGTAGAATTTGCTAACTTAAGTGTCTGGGAGTTTCAAGGTGAAACAGAAGCGGCAAGACATCTTTAACTACAGCCAGACACCTCAAGAAAAGTTGTGATTGAAAGATGGTTTTCTGTTAGGAGCAATTTCATGTGAGTATATGGAAACAATAGAAGTTCTCGTTTTGACTAAGATTAAGCTGCATGGCTTTACAGGCAGTAAGCTGAACAGGTCTGAGGTGGGCATCCAGGTCACATGTGGAGACAGCTAAACGCCTCCTGGGAGCACCTTCCTGGGATGATTTTCTTACTCTTTCCATGAAGGTTTCAAGTTGATTGATTGGGACAATGATGACCAGTTTTCCAGACAGTGATATTTATGGAAAATTTAAAGCATTTCTTTACTTTGAAAATGGTATGTTTCAGGGCTGGCTAGGGTGTGGCTTAAGTGATAGGTTCTATCTAGCCAGTACAAGGCCATGTTGAAACCCCAGTACTGCTCTCCTCTCTTCCAAAAAAAAAAAAATACGTTTCTTATACACTTAAGTTGTACTCATAAAACCATTGGGAAAAAAATGTGAAGGAGGCTGGCTCCATGTTAGAGTACCTGTGTAGCAAGTGTGAGACCCTGAGTTCAAACCCCAGTACTGGCCCTGCCCCCGAAATAGTAAAGGAGAATGTAAAGTTACAGCTATTGTAACACAGTTTTTTAAAGTAGTTTTGAAAAGTATAAAAGCAAGTTTGGCTAATAGTAGTTAAAGTATCTAATTCTGTTATGCTACCTTTGATTCCAGAACAATTTTCAAATACAAGAATCTTTTCTGAGCATTCATTTATTTAATTACTGTGTCTTGAACTGAGGGCTTCACACTCTTGCTGAACCTTTTTCTCTGCTCTTCCCCTTGAGCCACACCTCCAGTTCTAGCTGGCTAACTGGAGATGACACTCTATTTCTTTCTGCCTGGGCTTCGATTGTAAGATCTCAGTTTCTGGAAATAGCTAGGATTACAGTCATGAGCCACTGACTGGCTAATTAAAGTAATTTTTTTCTTTTCATTTTTTATTGTTATTATAAAGTTGATGTACAGAGGAGTTAGTGGTTACATAAGCTAGATAATGAGTATTTCTTTTTAGACAATGTCATCTTTCCAAGTTTAAAGAAGGATTTATTTTCATATTGTTTCTAGCCTTCCAACATAATAATTTTTTATTTCTTTGGAAGTGGTGTGTAACTTTACTGTTTGTTTTCATGATTTTGTTTTTTTTTTTTTTTTGGTCCGGTCATGGGGCCTGAACACTGGGCCTGGGCGCTGTCCCTCAGCTCTTCAGCTCAAGGCTAGCGCTCTACCACTTGAGCCACAGCGCCACTTCCGGCTTTTTTCTTTTTGCTTATGTGGTGCTGAGGAATCAAACCCAGGGCCTCAGGCATGCAAGGCAAGCACTCTACCACTGAGCCACCTTCTCAGCCCAATCTCAGTAATTCTTGAACAAGATTAAAATAAAGCACACTGAAGTACATCACAGTCTGAATGCTAAAAATCCAATGTAAAGAAAATCATGAAGGGCTGGGAAGGTGGCTCAGTGGTAGAGCGCTTGCCTTGCATGCCTGAGGCCCTGGGTTTGATTCCTCAGCACCACATAAGCAAAATGCAAAAAACTGGAAGTGGCGCTGTGGCTCAAGTGGTAGAGTGCTA